CCTCAATAATTGCGATGTATTTCAAGAGGGATACACTGTTCTGTCTTTTGGGAATGGCTGTATGATGCTATATGATGTCTATATGTCATTAAACCAGATATAAATGCATTTAGTCCCATCCCCCGTCCCTTCGGCACTGTAGCTAGGACACCCCACATCTTTGGATAATCTCTAGTCATCCACATTCTTAGTCCTGCTCCCATCTTTCTAGAAACATACCCTCCGCCAATCTTCCAAAAATCATGTTGCCTGGAAGCATCCAAAAACACATGTTCAAGAGGCACCGACTAGAATTCCTCTCAAAAATTCCCACAGCCCATGCCATTCCATGCAAAACTCGCCTTTTTCTTGGCATCAAAAAATGGCACCAGAAACTGCCTTTTTCAACTCGCCAGTCCTTTTCCAGGTCCCCGAGATCGCCATCATCCTCGTCAAAGGCTTCGGGCTCAGCCTTGGAAAAGGGTAACTCCTCGTCCATTTCGCCTCGGAAAATGGCGGGAGTTGATTCAATTCACTGGGCAGGGATTTCTTTAGATGTGAATGTCCCCCTCACGGGATACACAATTCATCCATAGCAAAATCATTTCAGCCATAGTGTGGCTGATCCAAACCTCGGTGAATCATCTCCATTGAGAGAATGGGACATCCCACAAGAGAAATGGTTAATATAGCAACTGACACGGGCATGTCTATATCATTCTATATGTGTGTATGTGTATACATATATATATATATACATAATATATATATATAATATATATTATCCGTATATATATATATACATAATATATATATATACATATGTCCAGCAAAAATAGTGAGTCGTGTGGCTATAACATGAGCGATTCACAAAATACACGGGAAGCACTCAAGACTCATGGGTATGTTCAAAATCCGGGCTGCATCACTCCCGAAAAGCTCTGTTCAGCCCATGCCCCTATTAACCACCCCCAAGAAAACATGTTTCTTTTGTTGCGAATTAACACATGTGGGACCACAGAATCAAAGTGGTTAAGAGTAGGGGGATAAATTTCATTTCCATGAGATGTCAGAGTCACCATTCATACTAATCATACTATTCATAGCCATTAAAGTCCACCCATCTGATCTTGAACATATAATTCTCATGTGCTGAGTTGCAAGCCTAGGCAGGTGAGACATCCCAAGTCCCCCAGCAACTTTGGACTATCCAGTTCCCAGTTCCCAGTTCCCCAACCGTCCAGCAGCTGCCCAGGGGGACGTCCAGGTTCACTGACATGGCTGCCTCACATCCTCGGCGATGAACCGGTGGACTTTAGGATTTTTGATGGTTGGTGGGTTGATTAATAAAGTCAACCATTCATATTCATAAATGGTTTAATAATGTTTAAGATCAAATAGACTAAACAAATGGTTGATGAAAATCAATGATTTCTTGGCAAATATCATTGATGATCCTGTTGATTCTAGATGCAGTACTAATTACGCATTGGATAGTTTGATATTTGGAGACATCGATGAGTGATTTAGTATCAAATTATCACCACATTGTCACTTTTGGATGATAACTCTGCAAATCAACCAGGGCATATCATATCGATGTAATCCAGAGTTGACAGTATCACTAAATCGGTCGTTTGGCGCTGGGTGCACTTTTTACCGCAATGGGCCTTGGGGGTCTGGCTACATACATAAACTTCATCAGCTTTCTTCAGTCGCATCCGACTTGAAAGTTCAAGTTAGAAACCCAAATGGATGATGGAAAGGTGATGGAAAGGTGATGAAAACAAATGGAAACATTTGAAGTCCAAATGGATTTCAACCCTGTTGTTCTTGAACTCAAGACGAAAAAAATATTGATACACAGCCACTACAGGTTTGGGTTTGACCCTACTGAGACGATCCACTTGGAATCCAGAATGAGAACACACCTTCATCTATAGGTCTCTAACTCAGAATCAACATCTTCAAACATCCAAGACTCTCATTTCATTCATCAAAATAAATATACATGTCATTCATCAAAAGAATATGTGTATATATATATACATACGTACAGTGTATATAGACATGTAGACTCATATAGAACCATATAGATATGTCGATTTTTATGATTTTTAGACATAGAAAAAAAAGATCAACAGCAACAGCTCCCAACCTTTACCCCCACCGGCCCGTGATTTTTTGAGGGCCGAGGCTCCGGGTCCCCCGAACCAACCGGAGCGATTGGAGCCCACCACGGTGCCCCGCAGCCAGGCGCCTAAAGGCGACACCTCGGTCACGCGCACGCGGTCCTGCGACTTCAGCGACAGGAACTCCTCGCTGTTGTAGGTGGAGGGACCGTCCCAGTCCTGGCAGAGATGGGTGAAAAATGGTGGTTTAATCATGTTTGCCATATAATGATCTATAGATTTATAAACGATTAGATAGGGTTAAGGATCTAGTATCTAAAGATATGTATATATATATATATGTACGTATGTATGTATATATATATATATGATATCTATGATATATATATATACCATATTATCTATATAAAGGTAATTAATCCCCATACCCTCTGGTAAACTAACAGTTTGCGAACTGGAAAATCACCATCTGAATAGGTAAATCAACTATTTCTATGGGCTAGCTATTCAATAGCTATGTAACAGTCATTACCAGAGGGTACATTTGGTGGGTTTGAAATTGGGATTTTATGGGTGGTTAGATGGGTTTGGATTTATCGTGTTGATGGAAGTTGATGGTGGTTAACTTGATGGGATCTTAATCTGAATGGGATGTTGAATCAGAAATTCACGGTGGTTTGATGGGAGTTTAAGGGGGGTTGAATAAATCTCTACGGAATTGAATGGGAATTTAATGGAATTGAATGGGAATTTAATGGAATTGAATGGAATCTAAGAGAAATTAAGGGAATTGAATGGTGATGAATAGGGATTTAAGCAACCAAAATGTGGATAGCGATGGGAATCGCCTTCCAGTAGTCATGAGCTACACGTCTAAACAATCCCAACTAAGTAGAAGTTCCCCCATATAGTCACATGTCTACAATCATATGGGGGTGGAAATACTGGTCATAATCCCAATGAACGTGTTCTTCTCAAGAAGTTCACAATTCCAATCAGCTAAAACCTGAAATCCCAAGAAATGAGAGGTTCCCTGGCTTCGTTCAAGAGGAAAACACATCACCTAACCCAACTCCAAGTCATTCCAAGATGGGGGAAATACGGTCAGACCCTAATCCTTAAATATACAAGAAATGCGTCTTCCCTCAACAAAAACCAAACTTCCAACACAATCAACCCCTTGCAAAAAAAAACACAAAAAACAAACAGAAATGTTTAAATCCCACACTGACTACCAATCAACTAATTTTTTAACGGAGTAATTAATTAATTAAATTAATTAATTAATTAATTAACCAACCAACCAACCAACCAACCATAACTCACCAACCAAACCAACTGCACACCTAACTCCCCAACATCGTTTCATAGCCTCTTTGGATCTTTCGGATCAAGGCTCATGTGAGATACTGACCACCGTGCCCACCGTGGGCCAGGGTCTCTTTGAGATTTCCCGCGCCAGCAGCGTCTTCAGCTCGTCCTCCGTGTACAGCTCGCCGCGCCCAAGCGCCACAAGCGCCATGGCGCAGCTGGCCACTGGGGTTGATGGAAGCGGAAGAACCAAAACATGTCTTGGGATGTGAAAAAAAGCCATGCTGTTTGAGCTGCAATCAGTCAGAAATCGCCAAAGGTCCGATTTTTCGAGATTTTTCTGGGGTGAATGGAATTGAAGCCTCAGTGATTGGAGGAACTGGCTGCGTTTCGTCGACTTCGGGCGTCTCTGGACGGCCCGTAAGTCGATGAAATAGCACCATGCAACAGCTTCTCATGTTCTACGCTGCACCAAGCAGTTTTTGATGGTTTTTGGTATCCCTTGGACCATGGTGCCGTTCTTCAATGCCTGAGCCCTCGGCAGATCTGTAAGAAAGGCAACGCAGCAAAGACCGCAGCAGAGACAAGACTCAAGATGTCACGTCCCAATTTTAGGGACATTCCCAGCTGGAAATGGAAAATTGAGGATGTGACCGGTTTTTGGGCTTAAAAAATTGCTGCTGACCACCAGAAATTATCTTTCTGATGATTGACCTCACAATTAGGGACCCCTTAGACTACTGGGTCTTTGCGTGAGCGTCGCCTCACCTGCAGCAAATCGCTGAAGGATTTTCACATGTTTTCACCAACAATCTATGCAGCCCCTGAGACAAGGACATGGTGATGGGTCAAGAGTTACGGCCTTTTTGGCGTATGTATCCTGATTTTCACCTATATAATGCCCAACGTATGGGTGTGTCTGAAAATGGTGCATACCACCCAAATGCATTTCCAAAGGCCCTTATTTTCGGACAAACCCAAATATGATATCGTTGCTTAAATATGCCCCCCATATCCCCCAAAAAATCACCTTTAGATACCCATCCACCCCATATGACACTTCTAACCCGTTCTCCAACCACCCCAGGGCCCAACACCCACCCGTTGCGCCCCAGGGCACCTGCACCATGCTGTGCTGCACCAGGAAGCGGATGGTTTCACGCACACCACTACTGCGCAATGGTCACTGGAGGTCATCGGAGAAACGAACCACTGAAATCACTGACATCCACTGAAAAAATCCCGAACCAAATATTACTATGGTATCAGATCGTCCGCAAAAGCAAATATACATATATACATAGAGTATTCATATATCTATCTTTTTATAACATATATCATATATATATATATATACATACAAAATAAGTAGTTCATATCATTTCTTACCTAAATTGATGCTCCAAGGTCCCTAAGGCACCTGATCATATTGGAGGTGTAGGAGAGCCAAATCTTGGTGCGGACTTTCCGCCTGGCCTGAAACTCAGTCGGTCCTCGAAACGGGGTATACCCACCCAAACGAAACTGTTTAAAGAAAAACTGATGGAGGATGAGATGATGATGATGATGATGATGATGGTGATGATGATGATGATGATGGTGGTGGTGGTGATGATGATGTCGATGATGCTGATGGTGATGATGGTGATGATGATGATGATGGTGATGATGGTGATGATGATGGTGATGATGTGATGATGGTGGTGATGGTGATGACGATGGTAATGATGGTGATGATGATGGTGATGATGGTGATGATGATGATGATGTTGATGATGGTGATGATGGTGATGATGCTGATAATGCTGATGATGCTGGTGATGCTGGTGATGATGCTGATAATGCTGTTGATGGTGATGATGGTGATGATGGTGATGATGATGATGATGGTGATGATGGTGATGATGTTGATGATGGTGATGATGATGGTGATGATGGTGATGATGGTGATGATGGTGATGATGATGGTGATGATGCTGATAATGCTGATGATGCTGGTGATGCTGGTGATGATGCTGATAATGCTGATGATGGTGATGATGATGGTGATGATGATTGTGATAATGTTGATGATGGTGATGATGATGGTGATGATGGTGATGATGGTGATGATGATGGTGATGATGGTGATGATGATGATGATGATGATGTTGATGATGGTGATGATGGTGATGATGCTGATAATGCTGATGATGCTGGTGATGCTGGTGATGCTGGTGATGATGCTGATAATGCTGTTGATGGTGATGATGGTGATGATGATGGTAATGATGGTGATGATGGTGATGGTGATGATGATGATGGTGATGATGGTGATGATGTTGATGATGGTGATGATGATGGTGATGATGTGATGATGGTGATGACGATGGTGATGACGATGGTGATGATGGTGATGATGATGATGATGATGTTGATGATGGTGATGATGGTGATGATGCTGATAATGCTGATGATGCTGGTGATGCTGGTGATGATGCTGATAATGCTGATGATGGTGATGATGGTGGTGATGATGGTAATGATGGTGATGATGGTGGTGATGATGATGATGGTGATGATGTTGATGATGGTGATGATGGTGATGATGCTGATAATGCTGATGATGCTGGTGATGCTGGTGATGATGCTGATAATGCTGTTGATGGTGATGATGGTGATGATGGTGATGATGATGATGATGATGATGATGATGGTGATGATGGTGATGCTGGTGATAATGCTGATGATGGTGATGATGGTGATGATGATGGTAATGATGGTGATGATGGTGGTGATGATGATGATGATGATGGTGATGATGTTGATGATGGTGATGATGGTGATGATGCTGATAATGCTGATGATGCTGGTGATGATGCTGATAATGCTGATGATGGTGATGATGGTGATGATGGTGATGATGATGGTGATGATGGTGATGATGATGGTGATGCTGGTGATGATGATGGTGATGATGTTGATGATGGTTATGATGATGGTGATGATGGTGATGATGATGGTAATGATGGTGATGATGGTGGTGATGATGATGATGAGGCTGGTGATGTTGTTGTTGTTGTTGTTGCTTAAATGTTGAAATGTTGAAATGCCTCCCTTCATGATACAATTTTCACCATGTCACATTCCAAAAATGTCGCAGCGCATCTTGTTGCCAGCCGCGCCTCCACATCTTTAAATTCATCCACCTGAAGGCTGAGTTGGGAGGCTCCAACACCACTGGGTGGTTCAACCCCTAGCTATTGAAGCCACAGCCCATTGAGTTCGATGATTTACCCGTTTGACTTCGGTGATTTTCCAGTTCGCTACGTTCAAAAAAACCAGAAGGTCCATGAGATCTGCCAGTGGTCCATAGTTCCATGATTTCCAGGTAAAGAGAGTCGCAAGACTTGCGGGAAATTGCTGCATTGAGAATAGAATACTGGCGGCTTGCGCAAATATTGTAAATGTAAATAGTGGGGCGCACCTAGAAACCAAACGACCAGAACGAAAGCTAGCACGAAGATAGCATTCCCAGGAGCCCGCACACAAACACACCAACAAACAAACCTGGTTCAATGGTAATGAAACACGAAGCATCAACATCAAATCAAGTAGCACAATTTTTACACAACTTCCCAGAATTCCCCCCCAACAACTTTACCATCTTTGGGGTCACCGCGCCTCATCCTCTGGCACAGGATCATCTGCCAGGGACCAGTCGAGCATTCGCTCAATTTCCATCATGGCCTCAACGGGTGAACCGAACGGTTTTTTTTTTCATGGCAAAAAAGAATGGTGTTTTGTTCACCAAGAAAATCATGGTGATTTCATGGTGATTTCATGGGATATATCGGAGAGCTGAGCGAAGAGTTGGTGGCACCTCAAGATATTTCATGGTTCCTCAGAAAAAATGTCCCGCACCTTGCCCATGTTGGTGGCTTGGAAGCCTCGGACAACACTGGAGGTGCCAAAAAACTAGCTGTAACTTGCCACCCTGCCGCGAGTTACTGCCGCACCTGTGGTGACAAAGGATTGAAGCAAGGCTTCATAGTCCACTCCTCAAGCCAAGGGGATAAGTCATGAAGGAAAATTAGTACTACATACCACAACTGAAATGGTAAACATTTGTATTCTTATTTGCAAGGAAGCATCTTGAAAGGCAGATTGTCTGGCCGCTCGTTGGTCTTAAACCACCGAGTACATTCTCAAACAACCCTCAGCTAGGCCAAGAAAGCTGCTGCTTTGGGCGAAGTTCTCTTAGTCTTAGAATCGACCAATGGGTTTGTCTCGAAAATACTTGGCGGATCACCCCAGCTAAGTGGGTTACAACCCGAATGATATATACCTGGAATAGTCCTACTGACCCTACTTACAACTGGAACTGTAAACCACTTACTGGGGTGAATATATATATATATATGTATGTAAATATGTATATATATATATAGTATTATATAGTATATATTCTGGGTCTGAAAATTTAGGATACCTCCTCCAAAAAAAAGTTGTTGGTGTACATCATCCTGTTTCCCAGCAACACCTCGCAACAACTCGCGGGCCTTGGTTGAAGTCATAGCCCACCACTTCTGGTGATGAGAGCTTCTCACTGCTCGCCAGCACATACTCCTGGACGTTGCACTGAGCATACAAAAAATGGCTAATCGACTGTGACACGAAGATATGGGGGAAATCATCTATGAACGGCGGATGTTCCATCGACACATTTGACCTGCAGAATGTCCAGTGCAATTCAGAAAGTCTGCCATCTGGAAGGTACATGGCATCCCTGTCGGAGCACAGAAGTTGACCTTCAATCTCTGTCCTTTGAAGCTGCATCACAGAAATCATGGGGCTTGATAATCCTGCTATGCTGGGCCAAATTGCGCTTCGACATCTAACTGTCGCCTCCACCAAAAAATGCATCAAGTCTATACGCAAGAGCGCGCAAATCCAGGAGACTTGAGAGCTTCACAACCATCCACAAAGGTGGGGATAATGAGTATTTTTTCAAGAAGATCTCCAAGTCATCCACCTCTTGGTAAGTTGGAGGGGGGAACATCAAGATCCATCAAGTGCAAGGGCTCTTTAGGTCTTGATCTGACCTGGACTCTATGGAGCATCACTATCCCCAAGCCCATCCCAGTGGGCCCCATCCTGAGTGCTTCTCTTCAGGTACTCTGCATCAGCTGCCTGTGGCTGGAGAGTCAGCCGGGATTCCGGGATCTGGGGGATCCCTTCTTCTCTCTATTCTGTTCATGATTCTCTATATAATGTGTATATACATATACAATATGTGCATACATCTATATACCATCTATTATGTATATAAACTATACATTATATAGATGATTGTTTCCACTTCCCCCATGGCTATGCTGATTCTCTGGGACTGAAATCTTTGGAATCGCTCGGGATCACTGCATCGCACCTCATTGGCATAGCCGCCGTTCTTCGCCATGGAAGGAGCTGTTGAAAAACCGAAAAACCGGTAGAGCTGGAAATGGCTGACGACTTACCCTCTGGTTATGTCAAAATAGCTATTGAAAATGGCCATTAATAGTGGATTTTCCCATTAAAAATGGTGATTTTCCATAGTTATGTTAGTTTACCAGAGGGTAGGTGGAAAAAAAAATCCCACCTTCGAAACAGGTCAAAGTCACGAGCTGAAACTTTTTGAACGAAAAAAAAACATCCAGGGCCTGGCGTGCCATTGTTCATGGATTTCATGGTAAAGATCAGACCCAACTGAAAAATCAAATACCCTCTGGTTATCTAACGTAGCTATGGGAAATCACCATTTTAATGGGTAAATAATCATCTATAGATGGGCCATTTTCCATAGCTACGTTAAATAACCAGAGGCTAATTCATTCCTCGGGATTGAAACCACGGCTGCGCACATGCAAAATTGGGAAAAACCATGGGCATGGCCTGATATCACAGCTGGTTAACGAATGTAAACGACAGCCTTTCTGCCCACTTTCTGACCACAACAGCTGCCAGCAGGGTCCCCTTCTTTTGCATCAAATTAAAATCGCGACTCGTCGGATCGTGGGCCGCACGCTCGGATCGTTGCTGGTTGCAGTAGTTCCCGGGTTTCTCCAAGCTAGCAACAGAAATACCTCGGATTTACCGCTTCAACACCTGTGCATGACTGAAAAAATATGAATCACCACTATCAGTCACTATCACCACTTGTCACCTGTGCCTCCAAATTGGGGGCAGTTTGCCGCTGGATCTGCTGCCAGTGCCCATCACTCCTGGGTCCGCTGTACATCTGCCATCGCTGCCGTCGCGACGTGCCGTAGCTGCGAAGCTTTGTCGCCATCAACGATGAATTTCTGGGGGCGCCCTGAAAAGTTGTTCGGCCGGGGGTGCTCCCAGAAAAAATAAAATCAGAATCATCAGAATTACCAATTTCTCAATTTAATTTCCACCAAGCCCCTTGGAGGCCATCATTTGCAATGATCAGATGGAGCCACTCTATCAGCAAACGTCCATGGGAAATTCCATGTTTATTTCAATGAATGGTACTTTTGACCGAATGATGATAGAAATCTCATAGCTGTTACACGGCCCCATTGTTCACCCTCATCAATTTGTGGCTACCTCCTCACTTTCAAGGTCATAAAATACCTGCAAACCCACGCTTTTTAAACAACATCTATATAAATATCACCGTCACGTTCATCTAAAAAATCGAATAACATCTAAATAACATCTAATCAATACAGACACACAACCCCACAATTGTCACATCTGTTCATATCTTTTCACCATGAACCACTTACTAACTCTGGGTTGCTGATTAGCCCCTCATTGTGTATCAGTTATTATACGATAGAAATAGATTCATATATATATATATTCATGGAGTAGATAGAATATGGAAATGTCTAAACAAACACAGTAAAATGCTATGGTTGAAAATTCCATGTCATCTATCTTCAGGATGTCTTTATATACTATACATATATTATATATATATATATATGTGTATTTATATATATATACTATTATTATTACTATTGTTGTTATTGTTATTAATATTAGTATTGTTAGTATTGTTATTCATTATTACTATTATTATTGTTATTATTGTTATTTTTGTTATTTTTGTGTTATTCATTATTATTATCGTTGCTATTATTGTTTATTTTTGTTGTCATCATTATTATTGTTATTATCATTGATATTGTTGTCATTATTATGAATGTTATTATAACTATAATTATGCTTATAATTATCATCACTATTACTTATTTTTGTATATCCCCATAATCTTACTGGTGCTTAGGGAATTTTGGGGAATGATCCACAATAACCATTAATTATCCCATTCCCCCATTCCCATCCATTCCCTACTAAGCACCAGTAAGTGGCTATGGATCAATACCTATTAATACCATTTTTAGGGGGATGAACATCCATAAATCCCAGCTATTTTGATGTGAACTACAGGGGTACAAGGTTTTGACACACTGCCATATCAGTGGGGATGGTCGAATTCATTGAACTCGTGATATTTCCCCTGAAATAGGCTTGTAGTGAGATGTAGTGAGTAGAATCACTCCCAAGTAATTTGCACCATGAACCTCCAGGGGCCGGGCTCCGGGCTCAGCTTTGCGGCGACCTTCCCGGTTTCAGCGTCTGCCAGGCGCGCCAGGCGTAGGCCTGGCGGAGCAACGCCTCCAGGCGCCGCGCCGCTTCCTGGGACGTCTGACAGGAATTCATCCATGACAACTGGGAATATTCATATAGTATAATATATAATAAGTACATATATAAATATATGTACACTATATATGGTATATGTATATATATATTGTGATCGAACTCCACCATGATTTCCTACCACTTGCAATGTACACTATACATGGTGTGTATAAGTGTGTATATATATAGATATGTACACTATATATGGTGTATATATATATATATAGTATTAATAAGTATATAAGTGTATATACATGTATAGGTATGATATGGTATGATATATGGTATATGTATATATATATGTGATATGTATATATATATATATGAGATATATATATTTATATATAGTATGAATAAGTATATGAGTATATATATATAGTATTTATCATGATCATTGGTATATCATCATGATATAAGTATATATATTTTGTGATATACAGTGAAATATGACATTTTTTCAGTGGTTACTGCGGTTTGGAAAAAAAAAACTGGTCAGGATTCAATCAGCCAAAATTGAGAGATCTGGGACCGTTGTCCGACAAAAAACTCGAACTGTTAACAACAAATTGTGACTTGTTGAATCTTCCCAAATCATATGGAGGAAATGGCTGGGGGATTCCCTCCATTTATGGCGACATCCTTTGCTCAACGTACCAAAGCCAGGCTCACCCAGGCTCAACGTCCGTATGGGCCGAGCATCTCGGTCAAGTTGGAAGGTCTTGGCAAAGTTCCTGGAGCCGAGTTCGCGGGAAAAATACTACAGATGTTCGGCCGCCAATTCGGCAAGTTCAATGCACATTTTTGGGGATTCGAGTATGATATGATGTGATATGATATGATTATGTGATATATTATACAAGATATATGATACAAGTATGTGTATATATATATGATATACTGTGGAATGTGATATAATATGGATACGATATGTATCAAAATGAGTACCCGTAAACAAATCAATATTTTAAGACATACTGAGAGTAGCCAAACATCTTTACCAACCACTATCTATGCACAGCAATGGAGTTTTGTTTTTTGACTACACCCACTTGCCTGTGATTGTCAGTCCATCATGGTCGCAACCCAAAATGGAGATTCAGGATTTACCCCATTTACCCGTAGATTTTTTGGCATAAAATCCCCCAATTCTGTTGGCAAAGGGCCCGTCTTTTACAACTACAATCCCCATGTCCATGTTTTTTGTTACCCTCCCAGTTCATAAAATGTCATCGCCAAAGAAAATGTTCCACTTAAATGGAAGTTTCATAGAATGGGAGTACCCCAAGGCACCATGGGCTTGCAATCTTAAAAATGGTCTAATTTGGATGTAATTTAGGGCACAAATTACATGACTTCGGAAATCCCAACATCTGCCAACATCTTCATGCCATGTTCATCACCATCGATTTTGTTCTATGGTTTTTTCCATCATGATGATGCTATATATATATATGATATCATGATATACATATATATATATATATAATTATAATCTATGATCTATATATATATGTATATATATATATATATCAACATCCCCTATATCTGCATGTTTTTTTTCCATGACTTCTCTCCGATTCTCTCCCTTCACGGCAGGCTGCCTGGCCAATACCCGGAAGTCGTCACCTTCGTGAACGCCCACGCGGCCCGTCCGGCCAGAGCCCACCTGACCAGTGGCGCGGTCCGTAGCCAAAGTGGTAACTTTCCATAGCTTTTAAGCAGCAAAACAAGGGTGATCAATGGTGATCAATGGGATGGTTGAAGTGGTTGAAATATGTTGAAATGATCTATAGTATATCTATGGTTCTTGTATGTTCTTGTGAAAAATGGAGAATGGAATTTTCATCCTCAAAAATTATCATGGAAATTCATGGATCAATGCAACCAGCCATTGCTGGGAGATTTCAACCATCATGTTCTCTGAGTTCCACCGTTATCTCATTGCCATGTCGGGGTAATGTACAAAAACTCACCCATGAGTAGCGGAGAAATCAAAAGCCATCAATGAGCAACAACCAACCTTGGTTACCCTCTGGTAAACTAACATAACTATGGAAAGATCCACCATTTTCAATGGGAAAATCCACTATTTCTATGGTGATTTTCAATAGCTATGTTAAATTACCAGAGGGTAATCTTTCCCAATAAATGATGACCAAGAAACAGAACATTCGTGGTACTGTGAGGCTATGGGAATACAAGCCCCATAACATCATCCATGAGGATTCGCGCTTGCGTGGTGATCCACTACAGAAGTCATGGTTTCCAGGCCCTCCAATTTCTCAACCTATTTGGAGGCTGCTATATATTCCTCGTTGCACATATTTTCATGTTCTCGTGACACAGCCAAAAATGGAGAAAAGCTGGGAGCGTGGGTTGACCAACCGGTCCCAACCCTGTCCCACCCAACTGATCCCAACTGCACCGGTCAAGGCGAGCACCGGGCCTTCACATCCACATAGACCAAAGGTTTGGGTTTGCTCCGTCGGCGGAAGGCGCATGAGAAGGGTTGAGGTCCCAGACGTCTCAACTTCTCGTACTTCTCGCCTTGAAAAAACGCGACGAACGCATTGCGCGTTTGAAATTCAGGATGTTTTAAACTATGGGAAGAATGTTTATAGATTTATGATTTATGATTTACCTAGCTATAAAATGGTGATGTTTCATATGTAAGGAGAGGGTACTCTGACTATGGGATAATGTACTAGTCCCGTTCAGTCGTTGGTTGACCTTAAGGCGCCCAACAAAACCACCACAAAAATCACCGGCAGCCCTCCATGGAATGGTACCCAAATGGCTTGGTCAATACCATCATGAATAGTATGAGAAAGTCATCCATTAAAACAAAAATGAAAGAATCATTTGAAAATATATTTATATATAACATATTATATTTAAAAAAAAAACTCAAAAAAATCCACCAAAAACAAGCCAAGTGAATCGAAGTGACCTGCCGGGATGCGATTTTGCTCCTTCAGCCTCCGTTGGTGCTGCTTCTGCGCCTGCTTCATGCGCATCACTGTGGCCTCGAAGTTCCGCACGTGCGGCGAAGCGGCACGGCGCTGCGGGGTGGAAGCGATCAGCTGAGGGTGGAAGGTGCACTCCTGCCTTGGAAACCACGCGGACATGGCAATGGTGGTGGTAGTTGTCCAAGAAAAAAGGAAGAAAAAGGGAAAACTCCACAGAAATTGCTTGACTTTTGCAAACCTCTGCAATGAAATTGTAAATGAAAAAGACAGAGTTGGGGGACTTATGAACCGTACTTCGCAGCTACTCTGTGAGATCCTCCAAGCAGTAGCGAACCACCGCTGCAACCCATGGTTGGGAAGGCAGCTCAGTAAGTGACCGAAATCAGCGAGAAAACAGAGCACAAAAAGGGCTGAAGCTTCAAAACCAAGTTGCATCTCCTGTTGCAAATTCAATTCCTTGATTTCCTTTTCCAGTTGGGCTCCTTTCCTGAGTTCGGCTGGCACACTAACTTTCCAACAAAACCTTCAGGGGCAGACTGACAACAGCTGTGGCAAACTGACAACAGAGCCCCCAAAGTTCAAACAACTGCGTAACAAATTCAGCCCTGTCAATCGATGAGTCGCACTCTGCACACCCAAAAAAAACACCCCAAAACTTGGACCGAAAATCAACACCATACCAAGTTTCTTGGCCGCAAAAACGGCTTGGTGATACAACAGATGACACCGCGACAGCCGTGGGGTCCCCCGTGGGGTCCCCCGTGGGGTCCCCCTTTCAGGGCTCGCAGACCCAGCCCGCGCCGCCGGGCACCGTGGCGTCGTTGGCCGCGGCGGAGGCGAAGGAGGCCGTGGCGGTTCCGGGTCGGCTGCCCTCTCGAAGCGCCGAGCAATGGACTCTGTAGTGCTCTTGTTGTGTTTGTTGTACAACATCCTACAGGGTTCGGTGTATCTTCTAGGACAATATCAGGATTTTGCACCATTTCAAGTGATCTCTAAAAATTTCACCTCAAATGGCTGAAATTTTGGGACCCCCCCAGTCCTCCCAAAGTCTTTGCTCAGCTGCCATTCCAACTGATTGAAGCACTCCTCTTCCAGGCTGAAGGCGAGAAACCTTGGAGGCGTCCGTTCCGTGTCCAAGGCGTTGGAGATGAAATGCAGCAAGCGATCGAAACAGATCATACCAGACTCCTCCCTGTCCAAGAGAACGCCCAGTCGACTGCAAAAACTGTTGTCCTGCCAACAGTTTTTGCTGGCAAAAACTGGATTTGAAGATCAAATCATACATGTCTAGATGGTTTGGTCATTGCAAGTGGGGAATTCCTAGCGCGATGGTTGTTTATATATTCTGGCTGCAACATTGCATGAAGTCTTAGATGACCGGTTATCACATGGGCACTCTGGCACTGTGTGGATTTGCTATCTGCTGTATTGACTTGAATATTGCCTATATGTATTATGATACATATACACCTATTGTATTCCAGTATGTGACGCAAGGACCTGTCTATTCTGAACGCATTATGCCTGTGTAAATATCTAGGGACATACATCATATCTACAAACTAAATTATATACCTGTGTACGTCAATCTCTGTTGCATATCCACCTACCTATTCATCTTTTCACCCATCTATCTACCTATCTGCCTACATCCACATGTATATACATATATACGTATATACATAACTAATAATTCTAATAGTAACAGGAATCGTAATAATAGCAATAATAGTAATAATAGTAATGGTACTAAAAATAGTAATAATAGAAATAATAGTAATAATTGTAATAATAGTAATAATAGAAATTGTAGTAATAGTAATAAGAGTCATAATGACAAAAATATTATTAATAGTAATAGCAATCATAGGTGATAACATGCGTATGTGTATCATCAAATGTATATATATATATATGTGTGTGTGTGTTTGTGTATTTACATATGTATATATATATATATATATATGAGTGAAACAAGTAAGTATATGTAATCAATTGTGATAAGTGTATATATATATATACATAGATGCTAACATGATTCATTTGCCAACCCCAGATGGCTGAGCACAACAAAAGGTTGCCTGGCCACTGGACGCACCCGAGCAACGGGCGCGTTTTATGGCTGCCGCTGAGGCATTATTCACAGTAACCAATTGTATACAAGGAATTATATGCAATGAACTATATAACTTTCATATACTTACTCAACAACATATGTATATATATATATGTATATACATACATATATATATATGTATATATATATAGTCAATTATATACAATAAATTGTATATATATATATACATATATATATAATCAAAATATGTATATCATCAATTATATATCATCAAATGTATATCTTCAATTATATATAATGGGTGATATATAAACTATAATAAATATATATATATACATATACCATCAATTTATATCTAATCAACTGCATATCATCAGCTATATATAATCAATTATGTACAAGCAATTATGTATATATATATATATATCCTCAATTGTGAATAGTCAATTTTTATATCATCGATTATATATCAAATATATGTCATCAATTATATATAATGAATTACTCATCATCAATTAATTATAATTCATTATATATCATCAGTTATATACCATCAAGTATATAAAATCAATTATTTATTATCACTTAAATATTAATTTCAAATATTTATTATCGGTTAAATATTAATCAATTGTGTGTAGGCAATTATATATATATTCAATTATATATCATGAAATATATAAAAATTAATGATAGATCACCAGCTATGTACAGTACAATCAACTATGTACAAGCGTTGTGTATAAGCAATCATATCTGATGAATTATATGTAATCAATAATATCTCATCAATAATATACAATCAATTATATATCATCGATTATATATCACCAGTGATATGTCGTCAATTATGTACAATCAATACTATATCATCAATTATATACAATCAATTATGTATAAACAATTATATGTGAGCAATTAATTTCATCAATATATATATATATATATTATCCATTATATAACATCAAATATTTATCAATTATTTATCATCAGTTATATATAATCAATTATTTATAATCATGTTTTTTTATAAATTATATTTCATCAGTGATATATAATCAATTAAGTGTAAGCAATTATATATCATCGATTATAGATAATCAATCATATATCATCAATTATGTAAAGTCAGGTATATATATATATAACTATATATCATCGACTGTATCATCAATGATATAGCATCAGTTTCATTCAATTATGTATAGGCAGCTAAATATCATCAATTATACATCATCAATTATATATAATCAATTGTATAAATATATCTATATATCACTTTTATATCATAGGTTATATATAACCTAATATATATATATATTGTGTATGTATAGATATGTAGGTGTAAATATCACCAACTATATATAATCACTTTTGTATAACCAATTATTTATATATAGTATGTATAATAATGATCCAGCAACTGTTCAAATCATTTATCCCTATGTATATATATATATACATATTATAATCATAATCACCGCTGTACCCATATATATATATATAATCAATGTCTATTATATATATATATAATTCTATATATATATATTATTGCACTATACATCATATGTATGATATATTACCAACTACATATTCTAAAAAAGGATCATCACCAACTATTTTTATATTGTATACACATGGCAGTGGGTCAAAACCTTGTACCCCTGGTGAACATAAAAATAGCTGGTAAATAGATGTTCATCCCTCTAAAAATGGTATTAATAGGTATTGATTCATAGCCACATCTTTTCATCATCAAGCACCTTCACAAAGCCCATGAGCTCCAGCACGTCGCCCACCTTGCTTCTGGGAATCGCCAAAACCTTCGCGGCTCCGCCGCGAAGCAATCGGAAAATTCCATGGGAAAATATGGTACCCGGCCTGGTAAACATAGAAAAAACGATGGAAAATCACCATTTTTAATGGGTAAATCAACTATTTCTATGGTCATGTTCAATAGCTATGTTTGACATAACCAGAGGGTAAACTGGTTGGTGGTTGGTACGCCTACCCCTCTGAAAAATCATGGACTTCGTCAGTTGGGATGATGAACTTCCCAACTGAATGGAAAGTCATAAGTCATTCAAAATTCCATGGTTCCAGTCACCACCAACCAGGTAAAAAGAATGCAACAAAAATGATCTGGACCCCAAAATGGAACCAGGGAACCAAGCTTTCATTTTTCTACCATTCAAAACATGGGGATTGAAGCAAAAGAAAGGGTGATGTCATGGTGTTTCAACAGGGATCTATCTAACCATCAATTCATGGGGGATTTTAACACTGCAAAAAATATGGGGATTTCGTGGTGATTTCATATGATTTAATGCTGATGTTGGTTGATCATGAGTGATTTTAGGTACCAAAAATCAGTATCAGTGACCATAGTGATCAGTATTTAGGTCCAACCATAGTGATCATTAGTGATCAGTATGACCATGGTTGGACCCCCATAAATCCGCCGGACATCGGCTTTATACCGACTCATTGTAGCGGAAAGTGTCCTAAAATGGGGGTTTCCTAAAATGGGGGATCCCCAAAATTGATGGTTTACAATGGAAAACCTCATTAAAATGGATGATTTGGGGGTACCCAAATTTTTAGGAAACCTCCATTTGGGTGCCAATATGTTTTTGATGAAAAAAATGTTGAAGCGGATACAAAGCCAATGTTGAATTCTTTGAACGAAAGAGATGAGGCTGGAAAGTCGTGTGTAAAGACCCAGCCAATGTCCCAAAAACATCCAAGAAAAGGAATCTAGAACCGGCGATGGGCGCGCCAAAAGGAAAGGAGATGTAATGTGGGACTCACCCAATTTCTGGTGATATCGGGGATAGTCTATTTTTGCGTTTACTTCATTACTTAAAATTGTGTAACCAAGAAAAATATAGTACAATAGCTAAACAGTTTCATGTACATCACGTTTGAACCCAAGGTATGCCCCTATTGATGGCGTGGACAGACAAATCATTGATAGGTTTCTAGAAACGGTTGCTAGGAGATTTCTAAGTTTGTTTGAACTCTTACCTTGCATTGGTCTCTCTTTACACCAATCACGTGATAACTAAAATAGCACCCTAAAAATATACATCTGAAAAGAACTCAAATTTGTGTTGCCTGAAAAATTGGGTGAAAACCACCCAAAATTTTATGGTTCATCATAATTGCCCCGTTAAAACATACTAAATTCTTCATAAATTGAGGTATCCTATCATAACCATTTTCAGACACTGGTTTCACATTTCAGGTCCCAGCCATGCCCCAGAATGAACCAGTCTCTGTTTTATTTAAACACTTTCATTTTGTGGTTGAAATTCCAAAATTCACTATCTGACAAGTCAAAAAAAAACAAAGCAAATCAGACCACTCAGGTCCCAATTTTCCTCACCTCTTTCTGATCATTCAAGGCAATGAAGTTCCTCTCAGGACATTGGTCAAAGGCTGCCAGCAGTTCCCGTTCCAACCGTGCGCCGTAATAGGCTTTGGAACGCCGCCCTAAACGGGGAATGGATTGCTCTCGGAGGTGAATCCTTGGCGTGGATGGAGATGGGGGTTCCGGTTGATTTGTGACCCAAAATTCGATGGAATTTCGATGATTTTCAAATGGTTTTGATGTTTTTTTATATTAGTTTTTAAATGATGTTCAATGATTTTTCGATGGTTTGGGGTGTTTTTCAATGGGACATGATGGAATACGACCCACTTTGTGGGGTGCTACGTACGCGTGGTCAGAACCATCCACAATTTGTCAAGAACCAAGACCCTCTGAAACCGCGGATGTTTGTGCATGCTTGGACATAAACAGCATCCACTTGGTCAAATTCCAAATTTCACCCACGTCGAAATCTTCATGATTCCTGCCAAAATGCGCAATTGGCCGAACATTGGCTATAAAATTGACCGCGTATTTTTTATTAAAAAAACAACAATCACAAAACCTTGTCATCTCTAGATTCGCCGGCTGGTTGACAAAATTTGTTACCACATTGGACTCAATGATTATTCCTTTTCAAACACCTGGGACAACCACATGTCTCACTGTTGACCACCATCATTTAACGTTTTTAGTTGATTTCATTTTGGAAGTTCATGCCCCCGTGTTTGCTGTTCCATTGTTTTTCACATGTGCAAGTTGCAAATTTTTGCAACCATCAACCATCAACCATCAACCATCAACCATCAACCATCAGCAAACCATCACGCAGCCACAAAATCCAGAAACTCATTCCTTGCATCCCTTCCGAATCTTCCGAATTTTCCAAATCCAAGGTACAAGGCTTCTCGTTCTCGCATCTCTTGGCGGTGTTTCCGTTCCTCCGCTTCCCGGTAGAGGATCTCATCCAGGCCAGGCAACACGGTGGGAACACCCAAGGACACAGCCGGCGGCCGCGAACTCAACGACTCCATGGCGGGAAAGAAAAACACCGTTTTCCGTCGTTCTGTTTTGTGTGTGTGTACATGTTTTTGTGTGTTAAAGTTTCTACGGATCAAAAAAATAAAAATAAAATTGTGAAAAAGTTTTCTTCGTAAAAGTTTCTACACGTGTAAAAACACATGTGACATGTATGTAAAAGCACCTGTGTGTGTGTGTGAAAACAATTTTCTCCCTGTGTGTGACAGGCGCTGGTGAAGGAAAAGATGCATTCGATTTCTTCGTCAGTTCGATCTATTTTTTCTTGACTAAAGCTCTGGGCCCGAACGGCTGCAAAGAAAGTGCCTTCGAGCCATCAAAGCAACGACAAGGCACCACCTACCAACTTCGTCCAGCTTCACGCACCCTCATCCCTCAATCTAGCGTTGAACAACGCCTTCCATCTCTTTTTTGGGGCCCAAATTGCAACATTGAACTGCCACGACAGCACTGCAGCGATGACGCTGCAACGGCAAAGGGGTGGTTTAAGGGGGGGCTTAAGGGGAGCCTTAAGGGGTCATGAAGGGTGCCCCCCCTTCCCCCCCCTTGAAGGGTGGAAGCCCTTAAGGGGGGGCTTAAGGGGGGGCTTAAGGGGAGGCTTAAGGGGGGCTTCAAGGGGGGCTTCAAGGGGGGCTTCAAGGGGGGCTTCAAAGGGGGCCAGGAGGGCTTCAGGGGAAGTTTCAAGGGGGGCTTCAAGGGGTAGCCTACTACTACTACTACTACTATTACTACTACTACTACTACTACTACTCCTCCTACTCCTGCTACTACTACTACTGCTACTACTACTACTACTACTCCTGCTGCTACTACTACTACTACTACTCCTCCTACTCCTGCTACTACTACTACTACTACTGCTACTACTCTTTACTACTGCTACTACTACTACTACTACTACTAGCTAGTACTACTACTACTACTACTACTCCTGCTGCTACTACTACTACTACTACCACTACTACTACTACTACTACTACTACTACTACTACTACTACTACTACGACTACTACGACTACTACGACTACTACGACTACTACGACTACTACGACTACTACTACTACTACTACTACTCCTACTACTACTACTACTACTACTACTACTACTACTACTACTACTACTACTACTACTACTACTACTACTACTACTACTACTTCAACTTCAGACCCCCCTTGAAGCCCCCCTTGAAGCCTTCCTTGAAGCCCAGCTTGAAGCCACCCTTGAAGCCCTTCCTTAAGCCTCCCCTTAATCCCCTCCGTAAGCGCCCCCTTAAGCCCTCCCTTAAGCCCCCCCTTAAGCGCCCCCTTAAGCACCTTCCCTTAAACCCTCCTTAAGCCCCGCCTTAAGCCGCCCCTTAAGCCGCCCCTTCAAGCCCCCTTTTGTGTGAAGGGTAGTGAGCCCCATATGCAGGTCGGAGCGTCCTGTGAGTACGACCAGAGCAGCGCAACAGTTCTGCTACAACATACCCGTCACCATGCGCAGGGTCCAATGTGTCAGTCAGCTGACTCTTCCGGTCACTCATACGACCGATAGGAATGCCACACTGGACATACCCATAGCAAGCCGCTTCAGCTTGCACTCGCGGCAACTCTGGTTGCCTAAAAAGGCTTCTGACCACTGCGTCACACTCAAAAACATGCCAAAAATACGACATTCAGTGAAACCTGAAAATCGAAACATTCAGCCTGCCTTCTTAGGCATAAATGTCACGAACTGTACATGATCACGGGCCTATACTGCCTCTCTCAGCGTCCTCTCAGATGAGCTTGTACAGAAGGCCTCAATGTAAGGGACCTCAATCGTCCATTCTCTGTGGGCAAGAAAGTCGCAGTGGTCATTGTACCAAGTACCCCCCCAGCATAGGAGGCATAAGGTAGTGGCGCTCAGGAAGGTTCGCAAACCAGTGAAAAACTTCCATATGGCCTTTGCAAAACATAGAGTGCAGGGCCCCTAATTTCATAGGGGAGATGTGCATACCTGAAAAAGTGATCGAGCTCTGCCAGCGGTACTCCTCAGCCGAGTTCTACTGGAGCAATCCAGTGGTGCTCACTGTAGGACAGTGGGGCGCCCGCGAGCAGCAAAAGCCTGCCAGCATGGTTCGCTCCTTGGTGGACGAGAACGGTGACTCTGCAGCCTGCCCACTCTGCGGGTGAGTGGTACTGGTTTGGGAAGCACTGCTGACGTCTACTTTGTGCACTGCAACGCACTGCAGGTCATTCAGGGACGATGACATCCTGACATGTCCTGAACAGTTCTGCGGTTGGCCCTTTTAACGAACCTGCAACAACCAAAGCTACGTTGCTGAAAGTAAAGATGGTATGACTACGCTGCTGTTTGGCAGTCATATCGATTTTTGGCTTGCTTTCGCTGTCCAAGTGTGGAGTCACCGCATTTATGGCTTCACGATATCTGCACGCCTGATAACCTTTTTGCATGCTTTCTCGCGTATGTAAGAGCCTGATCCATGGCTTCGGCCGGTTACCTACAACCCCTCTCAAAGTACACCGGTTTGTGCCAAGCCATCGTACTGGATGCGTCGAGATGGTAGTGAATTCATCCACGAATTCACTTGGAAATGGACGGCTCTTATTGAATAGATTTGTTTTGGACAAGTGTCATCTACGGATGAACTATGATATGTGGTTTTCAACGTTTTCTGGAAGCTTGCATTCTGCATGAGGTTTTCGCCGAGTATCAACAACGGTTGAGGATTTTTTTTTTCCTCCGGTTTGGCCGATTCGCACTAGGCACGGTCCTTACAATAGCGTAAGCGGTGAAAAGCATTTAGAAAAAGGACTCGTGTGGTCCAAAAACGCGGGCAAATCATCACATCAACACAAACAAAAAGCCAAAAAACAAAAAAAAGGCAACCAAAACGACCCGCAAATCCCCCAGCCAGATTTGCGTTTCGCCATAAAGCAAACAGCGAAGCAACAAAGAACGGGGCCGGGCCCAAACAAGAACCAAACCAAACAACTTGAGATTTGCCTTGAATACAGTGACCTAAGCCACTGTATCGTCATCAAAAGCATGCAAACTAATTAAGTGCGGCAGAGCGAAAAATATAGTACACGATCACCCAGATTCTAATCATCCATACAGCCGTGACTGTCACTCCAGCTCTCTGAAAGGTAGGCAAGGCAGGAATAGCTGACAGTACAGCTCGTATCAGTTGCCATTCTCATTGTCAAAGTTGGTCCTATGATGATGAGTGAAGTTGGAGTCCAATCTCTGTAGTAAGATACTGCCGCAGTGGTGATGTGACTCAATACCCCCTCAAGGGGGGTAGGGATTGACAGCCTGTAGGTCATGCAGGACAATAACTGTAATTCATCCCAGATGCTGTCATATCGTAGGAAGCCAAGAGGACCTGAAACGGTGCCAATGGTGAAAGATCTCCGCAGATAAAAAGGATCCTCTCCGTAAGGTCATTGCAGATGAATGGAATACACTCGTGCAGAGGGGAGGCTTAAGCAGAGAAAGATTGCTACTCAGCGACCTGTACACAATTGCGCCGCTCGCACATGGCAATCGAGCTCAAGCCACAAACTTGAAGAGGTGGCTAGGTTTGCTGTACCAGCACCAGCTTGACTAGCAGGATTCACAAGGTGTCATCGTTCCAGCAAAAACTGCTGCAAGTCAGATGTTCCAGAGGTTCGCAGTGCATCTCACATAGGGTCACTCTCCCCTAGAGTGAGCCATGAGCAGAATCACAACGTCCCATCAGCGCACCGATCCATGTTGGCAGGCTTTGCTGCACTAGGGCGCTCCAGACTGAACGCTTCAGACTGAACAGCAGAAAGCACCACTGGACAGCGCCAGTAGTGCTCACTGCAGTGCAGCCTGGTCCATGGCTCTACCGGGGATCTACCGCCCCTCCCGGAGAAATCGCAGAAACAAAACAGAGCGAGAAGGGCCCTCCCCAGACAGCCAACGAAAAAGCCACATGAATCAAACAGCCCAAAACCGCAAAAAGACATAAAAGAGGTAAAACGGAGAGGAGGGGACGGTGACAGGAATCTGCCCCACCGCGAACGAATTCAGAGTAACTAGAGATAAGACCAATGTAGTGAAGGTGAAATGACAGAGCAATGATGTAGAGCGGTTGCCTCAGTATCCAGGCAACAGGTAAACCAGAAGACACAACAACCACCAAAGAGAACCCTGCCATCATGGGGGAAAGCAAATCACAAGAGGGGGGAGAGGCCAAAACAAAACACGCACAACGACACCGGCCACACAGAAGGAGCGAGGAGAGGAGCCAGGAGGCAGCAGAGGACAGAGGGAGAGGGACACACCCGCACCAGAAGGGGTACAAACGTGCCTTAGCGGAGTTCAAAAAAGGGGCCAAGGATCATACTATGATGAATACCTCAGTGAGGGTGCACACAGCACTCCAACAACACAGGAAACATGGTGTAGAGGGAACGAGCCTCACACAGGGCCAAAGGCCTTTGGTGCCATGAGACACAATGAAGAGGGGAAATCAATGCACAACAATCACTCCAAGCACAGAGGCAAGGCAACCAGGCCGTCGCCGGAAGCAACGATACCCAGAGGGAGGGACCAGTAAAACCTGGACCAAGGCGCCAAGGAGGAACATCCGAGGGGGAGTGAGGGTCACGTCAGGCAGGGAACAGTAACCACAAACCGAAAAGGACAGAAAAAGGCACCAGCACCTAATGTAGCTCTGCGGATGGCAAAACCTATGGATGAGTCAGCGAATTCAAGTGCCTTGGTTGGTGGAAAGGGTGGGGGAGTGGGTGGCTAATCAAGACTACATCTGGGGACAACAACAGCATCTTCACCCATCGATGATTGTCAGGCAAAGACTGTGAGAAAGCGAGTGCGTGCACTAGGCTTCATGGCAGAGGCAACCTTAGTACAAGCTAAGCTCTCGACGGGACAGCACATTCAGAATCGGGTATTAACGAAGCCATGCGGCCCGATCTGTTATGCCTAAGCTGGCACTCGCACACAAAGCCAACTGTGGCTC